GGATGATGCGAATTAGGCTTAAAAACTAGGGAAGAATCATAGCAATCTCTAAAATTATTTTGATCATAATTGCTTATTAAAACTATTTTGAACATTATTTTGATTAATTGGAACCTGCGAAATCATAAAAGGTTGGATATTTGATTATTAATTTCTGCTAAGTTACTATGTATTGCTGGATTTTCTTGAGTAGGAAATCCAGTGTGGCTAGTAACAATTAGTGCTTGTGTTACTTGTTGTCTTCTTCGATTCCATAACAAGAAGACTATGAATATGAAACCTACAAGTAAAACCACAAAAATTGATCCGACTGTGGAAATAATTATAATTTTTTTATCAGAACTTTTTTCAGATGACGTTGTAGAACTTGATTTAGGCGATGTTGTAGAATTTGAGCTTTGTGATGGAGTTGGAGTTGCGATAAATTTATCAACCCAAGTATAATCGTTTAAATCCAAACTGTGACAACTGTTCTATTAGGGTTTTCGCCTTAAATATTTGAAATCAAAATTTATTTAACTTATACATGTAATTATATGAAATTTAATAAAATATTTACCTGCACTTACAACCATATAATTTTATATATAGCGACTGTCGAAATCAACGGCACATTGTAAATGTTATGCTTGTTTTTAGTTTCAAGCTCTGAAAATTCGAATGTTTACAAATTTAAAGTAATAAAATAATCAGGCGGAACGCCTGAATTATTGGATAACGAACCACCGTACAGGATGATACTTTGAATATTGAGCGCTATTAATAGATATGATTTATTAGGTTTATTCATATATACAATTAAGACAAAAATACTTTCACCTAGAACGGCTGAGTGATCATAGCGGTTACGTATATCTCCATTAGTTGTCGCGTACTTGTAAGTTCATTGTAAATTAATACTCAAATATTTGCAAATCTAACCTCTCTATAAAGCTCACTTACTCTTTATACTCCATGGATTATTATTTGTATTGAGAGTATCATATATCAAATCTTTAAAAAAATAATTTTAATATTAAATTTTCTTATCAAATAAAATTTAATAATAATGCCTTGCGAATATCAACACAATATAGTGTTATTCGAAAAAGTGCCACCAAGACAATAAAATTTGCCATCTCTAAAAGTCACTGAATAAAAAGCTCTTTGCTCAGGAGGAACCTTAGAGGGAAGAATTCGGTTCCATGTTGAATCAAATGTGTCAAATATATACATGGCTTGATCTGTAATAAATACTTGATCTACGTTAACGGTATTTCCACCCCAGATATAAAGTTTTCCTTTGTCATCAAAACTGATGCGTGCGCCTGGTAATGAATATCACAGACGAAATTTAAATTGGGTAAAACGTTACAATCAATTTGATAAAAGTCGTTTACGAAATCCCCATAATTCCAATTATTTACACTCTACGGCTATTCATTATATTTCAAATTAATTAAAAATTAATTAAAAATATTAAAAAGTAAAGTATTCATTTTGCATTTGTACTTACAATTAATCACCAAAAGCATGTATCAACGTTAACGAACGATTATCTTTTTTAAGCGCACTAAAGCAGAAGAGAAAAACGTCGGTGCATTAAATAGATTATCGATTCTGGTGAATGCTGGTTCTGATGTGTTCCAATTTACAGAAAGATCTAAGGAAAAAGCATGGGTCTTGTTAATGCCAAAGTCCAAACTATTAAATACTATAATTTTGTTGTCGATATATATTCCGCGTTCTGGATATTTAAAATCATTAGTGACTACTAGTGACTGCACATTCATTATTGAAATAAAGAAAACTAAATACGAATAAATTGAGGTTGATAAGAATATGAACATGGTTCTAACGGTATCGTTATATTTTTTGTTTTGTTATTATGAGTTAACCAAATTGGAAGAAAGTTTAGACATAAAACCGGTAATTTCATTATAGCTGTAGGTACGTATGTACATGTATTTATGTGTTAACTTAGAACTTTGTGAAATTAATTTTTGCGTGAGACAACGACTACACATGATTACTTTGTGCTTATGACTTGAATACCGTACTGTATCGGTATTTATCACTTATTTATTAAATACCACATGGGCGACGTGGTTTATCGATTTCATATAAAGCACGTTGCTATTTTTTCTTCCTTGCACCGGGTGGTCAATGTCTAACGCTAACTAAAAGGAAGCAGTTCAATATTTTGAAATATTTTTGAGCATTGGGGATACTTTTTGCAATTTCATCACTTGATCATGTCTTTTTGATTTCTGCCATTCTAATTTAAGGTACACATGAAGACATTTATGTATAGGATATTCTAGAGAGCTATAGTACGTACTGCAAACGCAAAGTATTCAGTTTTGTCTTTGGAAAGTCGAAAATTTTGACCTGTTTTCTCGAACAGAATCCCAACTAATCTCTTTTCATGAATAAAATCCAGCTCTTAGATAATATCTTTAACGTTAAGTGTCTAATTTTTCATCAAACTCATGTACTGTCGTTAAAAAGTTGTCATTTTTTGCATAATATACAAATGAAACTTGACTTTGTCTCCTCTCAATGCATACCCGGTAACGCAAATAAATGACTAGAAACCGCAATATCAGAAAATCAAATAAATTTTTTGATTTTAAAAGGTTTATTGTATAAATGTAATTGGAAAAGGGCGTTCGGTAAAGTATTTAAAGCAGGATTGGAAAAACGGTCGCCTTGAATTACTTTTATATGAGAAACGACTAAAGCATAGTTGCGATCTTAGCGTTATTGTCTAGAAAATAAATATGCAATTGAAATCGATCAAGCAAATAATACAGCCATTTTCTCTCAAATATATATATATATCTCAGAACAGCTCATCAAAATATGCCTCAAAACAATTGGAGTTTGCAAACGATAATACAAAGTTCGTACCGATGTTCCTTATGGAAATAAAAATTTTCATGTTACGAAGTTGGTAATTCAAAACATCACGAAGGATTATTAGAATTGCATTAAAAAAATAAAATCATTCACCCAGCTTAGAAATTGAAAACAACAGAAAAACTATATCTATTTATAAAGATGAATCACTTGTAGAATTTTCATCAATATGAAATAACAATCATAAATGAGCCTCACAGTAAAAGGGATAAATTTTTAATACTTGTCAGCCTTGTGATAAGCTAACGCGCGTTTACTTAATGTTTGCTTAAGCTTTCTAATTCTATTCAGGTTTATTCAAAGTTTAACAAGGTGATAAACTAAATAATGTTTAACGTAAGTTTAATATGGTTTACTTGATGTAATTTGAAACTTATTCTAGATTTCAAGTTTAACAATTATAAACCTTTGGTAAATTTTACCTCTTTACCTATGAAGAACTTAATCTCTGAATCTTCTTTTTGCTTTTTGCTTTGAGCATTGATATGCTTTTAATATACAGTAATATATTTTTGGTTTCTGTTATACGTTGAATATTCATTTCTTGAACCAATCAAAATAAATAAAATTATTTTTGATATACAGTGGTGGGCAAAATTACAATTTTATTCATAACAAGATGAAAATTTGTAATATATTTTTTAAAATGTAGAGAATAAGTATTTAAAAATATTAATTTGCAATACATATAACTAGGATTGATAATGGAGCACTCCGAATCATATTAAAACATATAATACACTCTGGAGTGCTCCATTATCAACCTACATATAATAACCTCTAATTTTCAACTGAAATTAAAGACAAAATCAAAAAAATAAGAGTGTATTGAAATAAAAAGTTAATTGTAAATAATTTCATTATCAAGTAAGCTTGTTTATTATATTATAAATAAATTTTTGTAAGCTTTGAACACTCTTCATCTAAATATGATTAATAATGTGTTGCAACTATTTTCCTTTTTCTATTATTATGAAGAGCAAAATGAAAAATTTTCAATTTTATAACAAGTTTCCTAAGGCTACTTTATAGAAAATCTTAAAAAAATTATTCATAAAATGCAATTTATGACAAATAATTATGATGAGATACAGTAAAACCTCTCTAAGTGCACCCCCGGGACCATAGGCAGAGTGTGCAGTTAGAAATGGTGTACATTTATAGAGAGTAAAATGTATATTTGTCTTATAACTTGAAACTAGTGCGTACATTTATAGAGAGGTTTTACTGTATTGATCAAATTATATAACAATTTAAAAAGATATTCTCTACATCATAGGGAATATGTTTACTTATGATGATATTGTCAACTATATCACAATTTCTTTTTTATACATCCTTATTATTGGTTAGTAGCATTTTGTCAAGATAAATGTAAGAAAGACTACAAAGTAGGTTTATGATTGTATCATCTTTAAGCCATTTTACAAAAATATATATTTACAAATTTCCATAGAATTTAGTCAATTTTTCATCTTCTTATGAGTAAAATCGTAATTCCGGAAACTTTTTGACCACCACTGTAATATTAATAAATACGATTGATTATTATGAGTGATTGATTGTATATTCATAAGAAGTCTATACTTTTAATTAGTCAAAAAGAATATACGGCGATAGTAATTTCTAAGCAATTTTGACATGCATGTACTGGTTTTTAATGATAATGTGTGATAAATTTTTAAGATAAATAAAAGGGAATATGGGTCTATGAATTTAGTTTGCTTCTCTTTTACCAATGGTAATTAATTTAAATACTCAAAGCCTTTTAATGTCTTGCAGAAAATATTCTGGATATATTTCTATCAATAAAAATGAAAGATAAATTAGATTAAATCAAAATAAAAACATAAGGAAGTTAACAATAACTACATACTATCATATATATAACTTTTTCCTAGTTTGATGCCATAACGCTCGATCAACGTTTTATAAGATTCCTCGACAGTAAAGGAATCAAGGAAAAGATAGTCTAAGTTGTGACGAGTAACTTCCAGAAAGCGAATAAATGACTTTTTAGATATTTTTAATCCTTGACATGTTGGGGCATTTAGTCTAAGAGATTTAACTGTGGGTCGAAGCTCTCTTGCCAAAATATTAAAAAATATATCATCCAAATGTTTGGTATATATGTCCAGATGATAAAGATTTGGACAGAATTCCATTAAGGTGGACAAATTGTTTACACCAAATCTAAACAAATTGATTGCTCGAAGATTGCACGTGTTAAGAAAAACTAAAGAAAATATCTTGTCAATCCAATAATTATAATTATAATTATATGCATCGTATGCATCATAACGAGATTCTTCTAGACGAAGATATTGGAGAGTATTACCACTAGCTTTGATGATTTCCTCTAATAGCTTAACCGGCGGTTGCTGACTATTTGAAGACCAAATTGAGAAATATTCTAATCTTTGAAGAAATTTGGCTGTTTCGAACCAGCATGGCTGTTCTAATGCTGCGCAGTTCACAAAACTTAACCAGAGCAGATTAACACACGAACTCAATCCTGGAATTACGCTATCAATACTAAAACAATCAAAGTTGATCTCGGTAAATTCAATAGCCCGCAAGTTTTTTGATGAATAATAAAGAGCTTTGCAAATAATTTTGATCATGGTGTTGGATAAAGATTGTAGTCGGATCCCTTGTAATTTACTTTGTGCTTTCATCATGTGTCGGAATGCTTCAGCTGTGCTTTTTTCTACAAGCTCATTGTTAACTACATGACTAGAAACATCAACATAACCTACAAATGTGAGTTTTTGAATTGAACGGCAGGTATTGGCCAGATTTTCAAAGAATATTCGGTAATCTCTTCCGAATGATTGGTAGATATTAATATTAGTTCCTTGAGATTTCCAAATAACTTTGGAGCCGAGCATTCCTTAGAAATTAGACTGCAGAATTTATGGTCAATTTCTAAACTAATATTTAAAGAACGTAGAGAAGTCGATTCAGTTAATAAAAGTCTGGACAAGGAAAATGCCAATGCGTCGCGTTTATTCCTCTGTTCGTTAGTCAGATAATACCGGGCATAATTTAACCATGCACTTGCTGCGAAAATTACTTGGTTTGTATCATAATGTCGTAAAAATGAGGCATAATTAAATATTGATTGTTGTATATTCCGTGGTCGACTAATTTTGTTGGAACGTAAATATTTCCATATTTTCTTTGAGAAACTTCCAGCATAAACTCTTGCAATAATTTTATGTCTGTAATATTCGCCGCATAATGATGCAAATGAAGCACATGTAAAAGGTGCTTTCCAAAGAATTGGAACAATCTCTTGACAAAATTGTCGATTGACTAATAGACAGTTGAACAATGATCCTCTGTTTAGATTCATGAAAATTTGTTGACGAATTTCTGTGGGTAATAACGATAATGGGAATACCAGACGAGTTTTTGTGGGCAGTAATTGGAATACCGAACTCATTTCTATTTTGCTAAATTAGAAAAAAATAATAGTTAATATTTCTTGATATTGTATTTGCATACAGAATACTTTATATCAAACCTTGCCTAGAATCCTTTGATAACAAACAGGGTAAAACTATTGAAACAAGCTCGAAATATGCTGATTTAATAACGTTTGTCATGTTTGACTGTTTTTAATAATTATTTCGTGTTCATCAATTTCAATATCTTTACACGTACGTATTTCTTTATTACTGTATAAACGTATGCGTGTGGCATTTTATATATGTACGCAGCATTCAGATTTCTATTTTGGGCATTTTTATAGTAGGCAAAATTTATGCCGAATGACAATCCTTGTTGAATAAATATCAAAAGTAGGATATTTAATTGGCATTCAAATTTTATAAACCAAATTCAACGTCGAACATGTCATATTATTATAATTTTAACTAGAATTATTCAGAACTGAG